GCATGAGATGTTATGCGTGTTTCCACTGACGGTTTCGTAGTGCCTATACGGTTGCACGCCCTTCTTCTGCGACAACCGTCAAGCTACAAAGATGCGTATACTCGTAAGTTTAGTTATCGTACGCCGCGTTCTGGTGCTGACTCGTACAGGATCATAGGAGGTGGCTGCGATTCCCATCTGACCAGCGTTATGCTCGTCCCAACATCGACCGCGTACCACTTATGCCAGTTTCACGCAACGCAATCGACCTCATGATGCGACTGCTCGAGGACAGACAAGACCGACTCTCAGCTAAGCGATACCGTGAGAACGACTGGGCCCTCCGCGACAAAGCTGCTGGTGCGCGCCGCAATCGTAACAACAATACCACCGGTCACATTGTTTACCCCAACGATGCCGAAGACATCAAGTCGCACCCGTTCTTCCGCAACATTCAGTGGTCACAGCTGCATCTGACTCGTCCACCATTCGTACCACGCGTCCACGGCGGTCAGCCAATCACCAAATACTTTGACGATGAGGCCGAGATCATGAGCGCGTCTGATCATCTCGACTCTTCAAGCTACGAAGCTCTCGGAGGGCTGGTAGACCCTGCAGTAGAAGGTCAAGTTGATGAGGATGATGCTACGTCCCCGGTTCAGCCGGCTGCCCAGCATGATGGTGCAGCAACGCCAGCTCAAGAAGGGTTTGCCAAGTCATTGCGTGACATGAAGAGACGCAAAAGGGAAAAGAAACGACCGCGCGACAAGCTCCTTCGAGATCCAGATGTCGGCCAAACTGTTCTGGAGATCAGGAAAAAAGGTGCTTTCGTGGGCTACACCTATCGCAGGCCTAGGTTCTCTTTGCTAGACTTGGAGGACAAGATCGCTGCAAGACCACACATTACACGCGGTGGGATAGTTGCTGCGAGTGCTTAGTGCTGTAGGTTCTTTGCGCTCTCTGCGGTGTGTAGGGTTTCTTCGAAATGAATTGTTAAGTTCTTGAGCCCGTCGGGATGCGCGCGGTGCTGTGCTTGCTGCTCGTTATCAATAGAACCTGTAATTTCTCTCACCTTGACCGCCATCTCAATCTCCCACCTCAGCGGTCAGCATCGTATTGCAGATACTACTAGCGCCGTCTGGAGCACAGGTGAGATATATATCACGCCCGTCATTCTCATAGACAAACCTTCCTACACCACACTTCCCGTCTCAACCTCATCACACAACGCTTACAATCAAGCAAAAGCGATACATATCCTCAACATGATGCTCTCCAGGGCCATTCTGCTATTCTTTGCCGCACTCACTAGCATCACCGTTAGTACTGCCACCGCAAGAGACCCCAACGACACGATGCCAGTTTTTCTCGGCCACAGAGACAAGCCCATACCTGTCGACAAGCCCACTCTCAACCCTCCAGTTCTGGACATAAGCGAGTACCTGGTCAAACAGCTCAAGCACCAGACAGTAAACGTGGTCAAAATGTGGAACGACAGCAAGATCAACTACGCGTGCAAGAAGATATTCACTAAAGAAGGCTACAAAGTCAAAGACATTGAGATGTTCGAGGTTGAGTACCAAGATGTGAGTTTGAACTGATGTCTGCTGTTTTTAAATGACGGTGTGCTAATGAGTCGGTAGTGCTATGAGAAACCATGGGTCATGTGCCGCCACAAAGACGCCTGGTACCAGCCTGACCTCATGAACTTCTACATCGGCCTGATTCCCGTCAACATGCGACGCTTCAACCGCCACTTCATCGCGTTGCCAGCCGATGACAAAGGCGGTCGAGATACGTACAACGACTACGACACCATTGTCTGGAAAGGACAAGCCAGCCTACACAATATCATCGCCGAGTCCGCAAGGTCAATGGGCCAGTACGTAGGCGGAGGCTTTGGAATCTGGAGTAAGTTACCTCGCGCTCCCCATCAGCCCTCTTCCTGCCGCTGCTAACCACGTCTCACTCCCTCTAGGTTCCGGTACCCTCATGTGGTCCGATCAGACGTGGGAAGACCTCGTCGAAAACAACGCAACCGCGGTGATGAATCCTACGTCTCAGATCTCTCTCGAGGAAACATTCACTCAGACTATGGTGCTTGCCCTCGCGGAGTTGTCGGGCATACCTTTGGCTTCTTTCATCCCCGAGTACAAGAAAATTTCGAAGGTGGTCTTCACTTTGTGGGAGAGCTTCATGTGGGTTTTGACTGCTAATGACCAGGTATTTTGTCAGGAGAGGATTTTGGAGGATAGTCCGGTGGGTTTGCCGGGGCAGCTGCCGGATGTTGAGGTCTAGTGTGTTGCTTGATGGATCTGGTTGTAGCTAGGGAATGATTGAGTTGGCTTCACAAATGCGTCAAGTCAAGGCTGAGCTTGGAAGGACAATGAATGCTTCACGTCTCCGGTAGAGTCATGGAAATCTATCCAAATACACCCAATCAACATTACCAACTATCCCGTCTCCCTCTCTTCCACCATCTCCTCCCATTCGTTCCACCAACTCCACCTCCAGAATTCGTCCACATATTTTTCAGCTGCCGGCCGTATACCGCATACACCACACTGGCTATAACACAAATCGCAATAACGCCCATAGAAACACCCAGACCGATTGATGCTGGTACACTGAGACCGCTATCAGGTTCCGCTGTTATGGAGGGTAGTGCGGTGGATGAAGAGGAAGTTGCATCAGACGAAGACGAAGACGAAAAGGGAGGTGTTTGTAGACTGGATGACGGGTCTGGAGGAGGCGTTGTAGAAGTAGACGTAGTTGGAATCACTGAAGATGACCTGTCATCTCCAGCCTCGGTAGTTGAAGTAGTCGATCCGGCGTAACTCGTCGAGGGTACTATAGTGACAGAATCCGGTCTCGTGACTATGGGAAAAGTCTCCAAATCAGTTGGAGTTGTGGGTGAAGCGTTGATGGTAGTCACGATGGTAGGTGCGTCCATGGTAGTCACGATAGTAGTTGCGGGACCCATCGATATGATGATCGGAGGGTCACCACCGGTTTTCGTGGATGCCGACATCGTTGCCGCGATAGCTTGTCAGTGTTGTGCTGGGCCTAGGTATCGCGTGGTTTTGTGAGGGGATATGAAGGGGGTGAAGTGCGGTGACATATTGGAGGGTTGCGAGAGTGTAGGAGCAACAGAGTAGTTAGTTGCTTGCATAGGAAACGGGATGCGATGTGTTGTTTGCGTGGTAGTGTGACGGGTGGGTGCGCTGGCGTGGAGTTGTTGGAGTCGCGTGGTGGTGGCTCGTTTGCCTGTTATATGGTAGGAGTGAACTTCCTGCACAGATTGAAAGATGGACTGGATTTTAGAAGTTCATATGGTATTGTATGTATGTACTGAGGAAAGCCGGATATGTCGCAATGACTAGAGTCAGCACTGGAGTGTATGACAACTGGTGTGTCTAAAGTCTACCCCTACACTCAACTGTAGAAGCCAAAATTCCACATTGCTGATAACGATACATTCGAATAATTGGTTGTGGGACTTCTGATTGCATCGGCCTGTTGTTGTTCGGGCAGTGCAGCGAGCTCGGTGCTGGAGTCAGGAAGGTCCGACCAACACCGAACTCGGACGTCACCCTACAACATCCGAGCACTCATCAACCGTTTGTTTCAAGGCATTCCTTTTGCATATACCCCACAGCTGCAATAACGAAACTACATCATGTCAGCCTCGGACGACCTTACGAACCTTGCGACCCCGCCAGCGTGCATTGCAGACTTTTGTCTGATCCCCCTGGGCACCCCCACAGCATCGGTTTCCAAGGAAGTTGCCGAAGTGCAGCGGCTCCTCAAGAAAAGCGGTTTGGATTATTCGATGCATTCCGCGGGGACAACTGTTGGTATGTGACTGCCCATACCCCACCTTCTGAATTCTGTACGCTCTCGCGTGCGAGCCAACCCTCTTCTCGGCCGGTATGCGGGCCTGGTGGCTTGGAAGGTGGAGGGGTATATGGAACATTCTTGAATGTGCATGCTAATTATGGTTAGAGGGCTCGTGGGACGACGTTATGCGGGTCATAGGGCAATGCCATGCGATGCTGCATCAGAATGGGATTGTGAGGATTCAGAGCGATATTCGTGTGGGGAGCAGGACCGACAAAAAGCAAGGAATGCAGGACAAGGTCGACGCGGTGGAGAAGCTGCTCAAGGAAGATTAAGGCGCAGCGTTGTAATGGGCCGAGTATCAGGATGCGCGTGACTGAAGGAATGTGTGTGTTGTCTCAGTTCCAAGGTCGCCAGGTCATCCACGTGTACCAACCACCTGCGATAACGACAGATGCATGAAAACAAATTTCACGACTACAGATCATGTACCCGCGCACGGCAGATCTGCCAGCCAAAGCTCGGATGGTGATTCAAACAATCGGCCGCTGCTATTATTGGGCAATTTCCTACTCGACGCCGTGGAGCTGCTGGGGTAGCTGGGCTATAGCGAAGATGGGGAAATTAGTACCTGACAGGCCAAACGGCAGCCATGGAAGCATATTGTGTTGACATGTGGCTAGACGTAGGGCTTTTTGAAACTTGTCGATCAAGGTGGCAGTGGTGGCAGCGAATCACTCGCAGCGGGATGCTAGTCTGTAACGTAGAGTAACGTAGACGTGCATACAACGGCTCCAGGCTCTTCACCGCCAGTCGCGATGTGAAGGTAGGCTAAACCGGATGCGAGGGGCGGGTGTTGTCTGCGCACGGCCGACGAGCGGTTGTGTAAAAAGTTGGCGGCATCATCCTTGACGTCGGTACCTTTCACCCGGAAAATCCCCTCGAGTGCCGCATGTGCTCCCACTCTCTCTCCACCACAACACGCCCATCTATACCTGCCCACACCGCCCGCAATATTCACTGCCCGCCCGTCACCCCGCCCATCCCGTCCGAAATCCGCCCAGCCCCCAGAATTGGCCTCGTGTGATCGCATGGCGAATGCACGCGACAGCAGCATCATCTGCCAATCCCCACCACCCGCGCGGTAACCACGTCGACGCTCCACGCATCAACCATCCACCATGGCCTTCAACTTCAACTGGTCGCCGCTGATAGCCGACACGTCGAGGGCGCGCGACATGCTGACGACGGCCCTCAACAAGTCGCCCAAGCCGCCCATCATCGTCGACGACATCATCGTCACCGAGCTCAATCTCGGCACCACCCCGCCCGAGCTCGAGATACTGGAGATTGGAGATTTGGCGGAGGACCGGTTCAGGGGCATCTTCAAGATGTCTTATGCGGGCGACGCGTTTCTGACGCTCAAAACAAAAGTCCAGGCGAATCCGCTGAAGACGTATCTGTCCAACAAGCCAGACTTTGCGTCACCGCAGCCACTGGCAGCGTCATCGGGCTTGACTATACCGTTGCAAATTACACTGTCTAATATCCGACTGTCTGGTTTCGTCATCTTGGTCTTCTCCAAACAAAAGGGCTTGACGCTGGTCTTCAGGAACGACCCTCTGGATTCGCTCAAGGTCTCGTCGACGTTTGATTCCATCCCCTTTGTGCGCGACTACCTGCAAAAGGAGATTGAGGGCCAATTGCGCGTCTTGTTCATGGAAGATTTGCCAGCTATCATTCACAGGTTGTCACTACGCATGCTGTCGCCCGAGTACCAAGAAATCGAAACAGAAGAGCGGCTAGAGAGCGCCAACGATACCACCGCAGCCATCGATCCCCTCGCATCGCCACCACAAGACGCTGTCGATGCGTTCGGCAACCCACTAGACGAAGCGCAGATCTCGGCCTTGTCGCTCGACTCTGGCGAGATCCACGCCTCCTTCTCCCAGAAGAACATCCTTCGCCTAGCCGCCCTCTCCGAATCGCAACGAACCCTTTCCCTCTTCACACCTGGCATTCGCGATGCCGTCTTCCGAGCGTGGGCAGGTCACCCAGACAGGCCCGAGTCCGGTGCTGCGACACCGGCACTCACACAAGGCAGTTTGTCAAGGATACAGTCGACGTTTGGCAGTCTCAAATCCGGTGCTTCGTCAGTCGCGTCTGGCAGTACAGGCAACGAGACGCTGAGCTCGCGACCCACAATGGCATCGGCATACTCGACATCGGCGGGGCTCAGTCTTGGCTCAAGTCGCTCTCGCACTGGCGGCATGCGGAAACGGAAGAAGCGTGTTGTTGATCTACGTAAAAAGGACGGCGTCGACTCTGGCGTTTCCACAGGTGCCAACACACCGCTGCCCAGCGCGTACGCCTCCGAGACATCGAGCGTCATACCAGAGGAAAGAGAGGCAGAGGAGGAACTCGCTACCCCACCAACGAGCCCCGCACAACCTCTGCGCTTTGAAAGTAGACGTGGCAGTCTGGATATCGGTACGCCGAAACGGATACCTGAAGAACCACCTACCTTTGGCCCTCTTCTCGCTCCTGCGCCAGTCCTCTCGGAGACATCCAAGTCTGGCAAATCGAAGCAAAAGACCCCACCAGCAGCTCACCTCGAGGACCCATTCATATCCCACACCTCTTCCAGACGTCCGCCGCTGTCGCGCAACAAGCTACGCCAAGCACAGCAATCCACCTCGCCGCTCCTCCGCTCCCTGTCGTTTGACAAAGTCTCGTCGCTGTCCGCACTCTGCTCACCGCCGCGCACATCTTCCCCACCGAACGCTGACGTCATGGCCAGCTCCGGCGGCATACTCGAACAAGCATGGATGACGAAGATGGCGCAGGAGATTGCTCGGAAAGTCCAAGAAGAGAAGGACCGATCATCTCGGCGACCGTCGCACACCCGGACCAAGACAGCACCCACAGGAGGCTTTTGGCAGAGCGACGATGAGATCGAAGCACCGCCCGCTTACGTTGCGTAAGCAATGATGAAGTTATGAGCTATGAAGATTTTCACGACGTACCGTCTTCGTACATATTAGTTCTTGCATGTTATTTTTGTCAATCACTTGTTGTTTCTTTTGTCTATCAAACTGCTTGTTAGCATTGGCGTATCAGGATTGGGAAAAAGCTCGTTGCCGTTGGATCAACTTGAGTATATAACTTAGGGGGTTGGTGGGGCTCTAAACATAATGAGCGGTGCAAAGAAGAGCCATGGAGAACGAAGGGGCAAGTGCGATATAGTATCGTCGCTTTTACATATCAGACTACTAATCTCATTACCGATCGCGACGTATGCGTCGCTACGAAGAGTATATATCAAATCACTCTCATCTTCACAAAGACCCTATTTGGTGTACTTGACAATCTTTTCCATTTACTCTATTTCACACTCTTCAAGGTCCTGGCACGGGAATAGCACCAATCTGCACCATCAGTCCAAAGATATCTGGCTGGCCCAGCTCCTCCACGATCTGCCCGTTCTCAAACCGATAGATGTTCAGCGCTGTCATACAAATGCTCTTTCCGGTTGGAGCAACGCCCATAAAGGGCCCGTTGTGTGTACCGCGCGTTTCGAAGCGACACACGATTTTGTCGCCCTCGGCAATGGTTTCTTTGATTGTCCATTGGATGTCCGGGAAGGCGCTGCGCATCATGCCGAGGATTTGGAGGTAGCCTTCTAGGCCTACAAAGTTGAAGATAGGAAGTTAGTGTATGTTGGATGTGTGTTGGGGATGGTTGAGATTTACCTTGGAGAGGGGGGCCGCCAAAGGGGACGTGGAAGGTAGCGTTGGGTGAGATGACTTCTTTGCCGATGTTGACATCGCCGCTGTTGATGAACTCCGTGAAGCGGGTTAAGTGGGGGAGAAGGGCGGAGGACATCGTCTGTGAGGTGAGTAGTGAGAGGAGGTGGTTTTGAAGAGAGGGTCAGGGAGGTGTTACGTTGGTTTGGGGTGGAAAAGATGTCTTGTCGTACGAAGAAGTGCTTTTTAAGTGATGATGAAAAAGTAAATTGAGACGACGATTGGAGTATAGAAGTAACAGCTTAAAGATTGTTGTTGTGGTGATGAGATACGAGCAGCAACCTACCTCTTTATATCACAACTGTTCTACTGTAGTAACCATCTGACAGAAAGCTGAATAATCGCCACTAGACTGCCTTACCAAATCTTACGTCCGTATCGCCTATTCATCACCTAGTGAGTTACCGTCGGTTACTACCGGTTGATTTCAATTGCTATGGGTCCTAATCGTGGAAGGTTCCAAGATTTATCCTTAGAGCGTCACCTACGCCGCTATAGGGCCGATGACAGTCTAGCGTGGTAAAGATCGAGAAAAGAATCGCATGTACTGATACGTGTCTTTGTGAGAGATGACGAGGGCTGAGTCGTGTTGCTGCAGTAGAAGGTTGCCGTGACGTTTGATATGGCACGAGAACCTGTAGGTAGACGCGGCAGCGACCGTTGTTAGATAATAGACCACGACGTACGCGCATGTGAAAATGCGATAACCAGAACAGTAGCGGCTATATAACTGGAGCTTGCCAATCTGACCTAGGTCGGTGCCTTGCATGCGGCCTTCCGATGTTGTGCCTTTCGGATGATGTGTCTTCGGATCGTGTACCACCGGATGTTGTACGAAATGAAAAGAAGGGAATGCTGATGTACGAAACGAAAAGAAGGAAACTCTGATTCACCTAGAAACAAGACGTCAGGATCACTGCGAAAGTGCAACCGTTCTTTCACGTCTGGCAAGTCTCCGTTGTCCGAAAAGGATGGTGCAAACAGGAGACTACAGGATATAATTTGAGGCAGTACCAACTTGCATCCTACAGTAAACTCAGAATAACGATGTTCCCGCTATTAGCTACAGATGGGCAAAAAGTCTGCTAATTCGCAACGTCCCAACTACAGGAGCTTAGATTGGCAAAAAAGAATGACCCGAAGGCCTCAAGTGTTTTGCTCCCAAAACGTGTTTCCCAAAAGCCCGGAGGCGATGACTCATCGGAGGTTTGAACTCCGGACCTTCAGTGTACTAACGGGCTTTTGAGGGCCTTTGTTAGACTGACGTGATAACCAACTACACCAACGAGCCTTGCTTGATGAACTTTGGTCAAAAAGACCAAAATATATACCGGGTCAAAAAAACAGACTTTTGCGTGGTTTGAAATTTACAAGACGCTACGAGGAGGATAAAGAAGTGGTTTTCGATCTTTGGGCCGGAGAGCTAAGCGTTCTACGGTCAAAGTGGGGAATTACATGTCACTGAGCAGACGTGGTTGGGTCAGGGGCCGGCGGTGCGCAATCACGAACCTACCTTTACCCGGACGGACAAGAACACCAAACTCCATCAAATACCATGATAATCACTACATTTCCACTGCAGCTAGATCCTGAAGATCAGCAAACCATGCCCAACCCTTGCCACGATCCGCAAACCATGGGATGACCTTGAGAACTGAGAATGCCCATGTCCGCTCACGACTTCGGCCCGATACCAGCAATAACCGATGCCAGCGTTGCCGTCCCCGCGTTTTGTTAAGGTGCCCACAATTCCCGACCGCTTCAAACACCGACACGACGCATTGCTTCGAGATGAGGCATGGAAGCAAATGCCCCACAACAGCCTGCTGGCGCGCAGGCGGCCACCAACCCGGATGAGGATGAAGCTTCGAAGATCAAGAGGACGCAGATTGCGTGTTTGAACTGCAGGAAGAGGAAGAGTCGGTGTTTGCTGTAAGTGGTTGACGGTTTCTTGTTTGTTTGCGCGTGTCGGCGGTTTGGAGCTTGACAGGATTGAAGTTTGCGCGTGGACAGCTTGTGTCGCGACGCCGAATGCGCTTGCATATCGTATGTAATACTAACGTGGCGTTGCAGCGACTCCGACAACTCGATACCATGCCTAAGGTGCAAGCGCGACAACCTCGAATGCGTACTAGGCGGCAGCAACCGCGGCGGAAGACGCGAGCGCAAGAAGAAACGCGTCGATGAATCGCAGTCGCACTCTGAATCGCTACCGCAACAGCCGCTCCCATCGCTGGTGAATACCGCACCCGAAGGAAGCTTTCACACGCTGGGAAATCTCGGTACAACGTGGTCGCAAGACCCAGGCGTACAGCCCTTTGGCGAAGAGCTCCAAGCATCACGTTCAGGCTCCTCGAATACAGATGAACTCCCCTTTTCAAACCTGCAGAACCCGTCCGATGCGCTGGGTATACTGGCGAGGGTCGCTGGGGAGTCGAGCTCGAATGACGAGATCAACGGGACGGGTAGGAACAACAGCATAGGACATGCGCGAGGGTCATCTCTCAGCATGCCTGCGCCGCTGTCCTTCTCATATCCGCTACTAGATCGAGGAATACTCACCGTGCATTCTCTGTGCCAGCTACTCGTACGCTTCCAACAGCAGTACCATCCTTACTACCCACTCGCGCCAGCGCACGCCTTCGAAACATCGCGTCTATCCGATATGGTTAACAACGAGAAACACCTCCTCACAGCCATCCTCCTCATCGCTTCCAAAGACCTCGTCGACGAACCGCACATCTACGAAGCCTGCTCCGAACACATGAAGAGCCTTGTCTCGACGTTGGCAGCGGGAGGCGATGCTGGCATCGAAGCAGTAGAAGCTCTCCTTCTGCTTGCTGAATGGGCACCGTATACACAGCGTGGCTCTGGCAAGGTCGGAAAGGGGGAGGAAGATAAAGAGAGCTGGATGCATGTTGGTCTTGCGCTGAGGATCGCGTACTTTCTTGCTCTCGATCGGTACTCGTTCCGCTTCGTGGATCAGGGCAAGGATCCGGACCATCATCGCAAGCGCCTCATTTGGACAGCGGCATATGTGTCTGACCGTCACATCAGCATTAGAATCGGGAAGGCGTTCTGGTCGCGTGGACCGGGGCCTTTGACAACGCTGCGAAGAGAAGATTACCCATCGCTGATCCCCAAGAGCCCGAACGAAGAGGACCATGCTTCCATCTTCCAGGCAAACCTCGAACTCACGCAACTCTTCAGCAACGTCCACGATACTTTGTATTCGAACCCTAGTTCAAGCTTCCGGTCGCAGATGAGCGGCAGCTACATCAAATTCATCGACGATTTCCGGTCAGCCATATATGGGTGGAAGAGCGTCTGGGGCACGTTGACATGTTCCCCACCGCTCAAAGCATGTCTACTCATGTCATACGACTACCTGCGTCTCTACACCAACGCCTTCGCCTTCCAAGCCACCGTCCTGCGCGCACTGCCCTCCTCATCCACATCCACCGACCCCGTAGTCGGCACACCAGCCACCATGGCAAACGGCCGCATGCAAGTCCCCCAGCGCGTCTTCGTAAACAACGTGGGCGCGGTAGGCGATGCGCGCTTCATCTACGAAGGCCTCGACGCCGCAAAAGCTATCCTGACTACCGTGAACAACTTTGTCGATCCAGAGCGCTCCCTCCGCTTCATGCCATTGAGATACTACCTCTACCTCGTCTACGCGGGCGTCTTCCTCTACCGCGCCCGCTGCACCGGCGTCATAAGCGCAGACGAAGACCGCGCCATCCGCGCCATGATCAACGAAACCGTCGCCCGCCTCGAACGCAGCGCCGTAGGAGCCGGCGCTGGCATCCAGCACCCCGGCTCCCGCTACTCACAACTCCTCAAGCTCCTCTGGGCAAAAGTACCGAAGAAGGACAAAGCGAGTCGCTCGTCTTTCCGCCACCCGGGCACGCACATTGCTAGTAATCCAGTCGACCAGAATGGGTTCCCTCAGCATCCTATTGTGGGAGCGAGTCCGCAGGCTAGTAGTAATGGGACGGGGGAGAGTCCAGCGCTTACGGAGCAGATGGGCGATTTTGGGTGGACGGACTTGGGCGCTGTTAATGAGTTTGCGGTGGGTGGGGGTGGGGGGAATGCGCCGGCGGATGATGCGGCGTTGTGGAATGGGTTTTTGCCGCTGGATATGGGGTGGAATGCTCAGGGGCTTGGGTTTGAGG